TTAGAGGTAGATATAACATTTTACACTGGACTTTTGTGGAAATCTTCATTCCAGTCTATCCTAGTTATTTTCTTTTTACTTTAGATTATACTAAATTCCCCTATAACCCTTTCCTGTAGTTTCTCTCTCAGCCCTTTCGTTGATATGCGTGTATGTGTGTCCATGTGCATACACACACCATTTCTGGAATTGTAGACTGGTGGTAAGGCAAATTCCTGATGTCTTCCCCCTTCTAGATGACAGTTATTAAAAGTTTATGGTATGCAGGTAGTCCACCGTTAATTTAAGTGTTCGAGGAGTGTCTTTTGTTCATTGTATTATGGTTTGTAATTCTGTTTTGCTTTACTATTTTCACGTGATGGGTATATTTATTTTAAGCCATGTCATAAATATTACACCATGCAAAAATATTTTTCTAATAAATTGGTAAATGATGTCCTTTGTTTCTTTAAGGTAGCTAACTACACTAAGATTATGCCTAACAAAATGCTGAGATTTAGAAGAGGAACAGATTTTTGTTACCAGGACCAGTTGTGTCATCTGGCATTGGTTTGAAGGGGTAAGCAACTGGCTAGTCAGGTGTACTATGGATTGAATGCTTCTGGCCTAGCTTTTTTTTTTTTTTTTTTTAAGTTTTATTTATTTTTGCTTAGAGAACTGGGTGCAAGCCAAAGGTACAGGGGCGGTGAGAGGATTCACCAGAGACAGAGTGGGGAGCAGAACAGGCAGATCCATGAAGTACATTGATGAGGGGAGCAGTAGTGGGCAGGCCAGGAGAGGTCTGCCAGGCCATGTGGATCACCTCTGTGGGCGGGGATCGAACTCATGCTGAGGTGGCTTTAGTTTCCTAGTGCTGTGCTTTAACCAGCTGTGCCGCACCACCAGGGAGGGCCCAGCCTAGCTATTTTTTTTTTTTTTTAAAGATTTATTTATTTGTACTACAGAACTGGGGTACAGGCCAGAGGCTCAGGGGCTGTGAGAGGCTTCACCAGAGACAGAGTGGGGAGCAGAACAGGCAGATCGACGATGAAGTACACCGCTGAGGGGAGCAGCGGGCGGGTCAGGAGAGGTCTGCCACGCCATGTGGTCACCTCCGGGGCAGGCGGGATTCGAACTTATGGGGAAGTGGCTTTAGCTTCTTAGTGCAATGCTTTAACCCGCTGCGCCACCAGGGAGGGCCAGCCTAGCTATTTTTTAAAGGTCTTATAAATTCTTGACAGTTCTTGCATCTATTTTAGGGAACCCTCTGTTCTCCTTAGGTAGTAACTTGCAGTGACATATGTATATTTAGAGAACAAGATCTACTTGTTGATTTCAAAACATTGTAAAAATCCTAAATTGTACTTATTATCTTCTTTTCTTTACATATTCTTCAATGATGTTTTGTCTGACTTCAGAGAAATGGATGGGTTGTTCAGCAGGTAGATGGCCTCCTCATGCTGCTTCTTGTAAGAACTTGTTTGTTACCATTCTTTGATTTTATAGGGTTAATTTTTCTCTTCTGTTTTCTAATTCTTCAGTGATTTGGGAAAGAGTTCTCTTCACTGCTTTCAAGTTTAAAGCAATGAATTGTCTCTTAAATTTTTTTTTAAAGATTTATTTATTTATTTGTACAGAACTGGGGTACAGGCCAGAGATGGCAGAGGATGAGAGGATTCACCAGAGACAGAGTGGGGAGCAGAACAGGCAGATCAACGAGCACACTGCTGAGTGGAGCAGCGGGCAGGTCAGGAGAGGTCTGCCTCACCATGTGGATCTCCTCCCGGGCAGGCAGGGATCAAACTCATATGGAAGTGGCTTAAGCTTCTTTGTGCTGTGCTTTAACCTGCTGCGCCACCAGGGAGGGCCCTCTTAAATTTTTTTGTAAGACAGTGCTTCTTGCATTGTAAAAAACCAAGAAAGCAAAGTTTGCTGCTCAGGCAGAAATCATGACCTTTTGATGGACCTTGATACAGGGCCTGGTTTTCAGTTTCCTTTTAGCAACACTTTTGTCAGTTCCCTTATTAAGTGAGATCAGAATTAAACTAATTAAGCTAACGTGAGATTGGTAAGTCAGACTTTTCACCATTCAACTGGGAAGTCAGTTGCTTAATAATAAAATAGGTCCAAAATACTAACCTCAGCAGGACAGAGCAGTTTCTTACCATCTATTTGCAAAAGCTGATAAAGATTAGATGGTTATCTTGTAAATAGAATCAGGTCAGAATAATAGCATTTGGGTGCTCTTCCATGATGTTTTCAAGCTCTGGTAACTTACATGGCATCTTGTATTTTCTAGGTTGTTTTGATTAACACATCCAATTCCATTTCTAGCTTTGAAAAATATTTCTGCTTCCCATAGTTAGGAACGCAGCATGATATAGACAGCATAATGAAAGTAACTTTTTTTCCATTTTTTAAATTAAGGTAAAATATACTAACATAAAATTTATCATTTTAACCATTTCTAAATGTGCTATTAAATGCATGCATAATGTTAGGTAATACCATCACCAACATCCATCTCCAAAATTCTTCTCTTGTAAAGCTGAGACACTCTACCCATTAAACAAGAATTCCATGTTCTTCTGCTCTTAATGCTGGTCAACTATCATTCTACTGATGAATTGAACTACTCTGAGTACCTCTCATAAATGGAATTTGTCTTTTTTATATTTTTGCAGTGGGCTTATTTGACTAGGAAAATTGCTGTCAACTTTTAATCAGACACATTGAAAGCCTGGCCTAGGCTTGTAACACTGGATGTGTGCATGTGTATGTGCACGTGCACACGCGCATGATTACCTTTTTAGGCTTCAGATTTCTGTGGATAAAATGGAGTTAGTTCTAATTCAGCTGGAAGAACTAGAAAAAGACTAAACAAATCTAGGAGGAAAATGAAAAGAAACCCTGTCCTGGAAGCCAAGTGAATTAAGTGTTCTTAGTAGGAGGTGAATATCTCCATCAAATACTGATCATAGGGCAAGTAAAACGAAGTTTAAGAAACGACTGCGTATGTAGTTTTCTTCTTGATAGTTTGGTGGGATGTTAAAAACAAAAACACTTATTTGAATGGGTTAACTGTAAATACAGGACTGTAAACCTCTTCAGTTACTTGTACAGAGGATGAAAGAAAAAAGCTGGGGGAGTAATTAAATGGAATCTTTTTAAAAATAGGAATGCCATGTAAACATATTCTGAAGGTAAAGATTCAGTTCAGTGTGGAGGGAAGATGTGATGTAGGAGAGAAGTGAGAGATTTGCTAAGAAATGTCCTTGAGTAGCCAAGGTGGAATTTTAGTACTTAGAAGGCAGTTTGTCCTAGTAAAAGAGAGTATATATATATGAGCTTAGGGTAGCGTTTATAGAAATTCCTCTTCTGCTAGTTTCTTTTTTAGTGAGAAAATAGGTAAGGAGTGGTCATCATTATTTGAGGGAAAATGAAGGAAGTAGGTGTCAGAAGTTTAAATGGGCTGGGAGAATTCATATGATTACTGGACAGCATAAAGTGTCAATTTGAGAAAAGTGATTTCTGACTGGGCTCAGTTTGAATTCACATAGTGGTAGGTTTTTTTCGGTGGTGTTTAGCTATGTTATTATTCACTATAGGTAGAGAGTTGGTTAGAGCAAGTTAAGGCTTATCCAGTGAATAAGATGAAGTAAGGGGGGTAGTAGCTAAGAGAAGCATGCCAGAGAATGAGATTTTTACCTAAATGTTTCACAGTCACAACAGATAAGGATCTAAAGAGCCACAAGCAATGTGAATACGTCCTTATATTAACTAATACTTAAACCTTCAAATTTGTATAAATTTCAAAATATCCCTTTGTATTTGATTTGTTCAGATCAGAACCAAGCAAGGTCTCTGCATCACTGCTCTGCCTTATACCTTGTCAATAATCTCTTTAAATGTCTTCTCCTTCCTTTTCTTGTCATTAATTTATTGAAGAAATTGGGTCTTTCTGCCATATAGAGCTTTCTGTATTCTGCATCTAGCTGATTGTATACTTGTGTTATTTAAAAAGTTATTTAAAACTTTAATCGTGGTAATATGTATATAACATGAATTTGTTATCTTAGTTTTTGTGCATAGTTAAGTAGTGTTTAGCATATTCAGCGTACTGTATCTTCTGTTATTTTGAATATGTCCCTCTAGTTCTTTTATTTTTTATAAGCCTGGTACTAGACCTAGAGAGGCTTGATCAAATTTTAAATTTTTTGAGTGAGAGGGCAAGGGCTTAGTGTTTTTCCCTAAAGGTTTTTATTCATTACTGATGGTCTTTACCTAAAAGCATTATTTTTTTAGTTAGGAGTTGTGAAAGTGATTTTCTAAATATAATACTCTCTGCATTTATTAGCTTGAATCCTTTTTTTTTTTTTTTTAAGATTTTATATTCATGCATATAAGAACTGGGGTGTAGGCCAGTGGTGCAGGGAAGCTTGAGGATTCACCAGAGACAGTGGGGAGCAGAAGAGGCAGATTTACTGAAATATACTGCTGTGGGGAGCAGCGAGAGAGACAGGAGAGGTCTTAGGTGGGGATTGAACTCATGCTGTAGTGGCTGGCCATAGCGCTGAGACTTTAACCCCTGCACCACCAGCCCTGTTAGCTCAATTTCTTTAAGAACATTCCCTCATCTATTTTCTGCCACAAATGCACAATACTTGATTCTTTCCCTTCATTTTCCAACTTTCAGGTGACTGAAAAAGTTGAGTTCATGTAGTATATAATGACTTGTTGTAGTCATTCTTTTGATGTTTAGATTGTGCTGCCTACCTGTAGGAACCTTGTCTGGCCTCCTTATCCTTCACAGACACAGTACCTTTTCTTAGTTTACAGGCGTGTTTATATCTCTCTGATCCCAAACTTGAAATCCCCCATTTATCCAAGGAGCCTCCTACTTCTTTTTAAGTAACAGTGGTGTTTAGAGACCATATATATGTCTACTTATAAAAATGATGTTATTTTTCACTTACATTATTCTTCAGAATGCTGATTGGTTTCTTTTTTTAATTCAATAGGCATGCCCAAAGAAAAATACGAGCCCCCAGACCCTCGGAGGATGTACACAATTATGTCCTCTGAGGAAGCAGCAAATGGAAAGAAATCACATTGGGCAGAACTTGAAATAAGTGGTAAGACATGCAAGCATACAGTAAGATCTGGTAGAAAATTAAAATTTCTAATGTATAAAAAAAGGAATGTACATCAAATCTACAACAGGAAAAATGTTGTGTTTTACCAATGTCAGTTTATTTTGGAAACAGGAAGATTCAGTGGAAAGAATATGATTTAAGCCAAAGTTCAAACCCATTCATTGCTTATTCTTTCAGTATCAATGTCCTTACAAAATGTGGATAATATCAAGGATGAACTGAAAATAATACATGTTAAATGCTTAGTGCCCTCTTGCTTAAAGGTTTGTTCTGGTAATTTCTCTGATAAAATAGGATGGAGCTTTTTTGTTATCAAATAACAGATTTCAGTAGAATGGGATGTTCCTACTCTAGAATAAGTTCTGTGATAGATTTGGTCTCATTTTCTTCATTTACTTTTCAGTATTTACTCTTTCAGTATTTAGAAACACAAAATCTTAACAGTTTGAAACATCTCAAAGTTCCCCGTTTTCCGTCAATGCATTTAAGAAATACTCAAAAGAAATCAGGGCCCCCAGACCCACAGAGGATATGTTAGCAGAAAGACTACCTGCACAGTCTAAATGAGTCCTGCCAGTTGCCACAAAGACAAAGCATACTCTTAGTTTAAAAGAACTTTAATAGGACTAATGTGAAGAGAGAGAGATGAGAAGAGAAAGGGTAATAGTTTTCCAATAAAATGTCCAGTTACTCATCTCCTCATGGGTAAATGCGTGACTAACATGGTTGGTCCAAAGTGGGGCCATGAGACCTGAAGACTTGTCATAAGACTAAGGTACTTTCTGGTGGGGAACCATCGGAAGGGCAAGGGATACAATTAGCACTTCCCTTTTTGCAAGGCAAGAATACAAATCAGGGGTTACTGGCTGCCGTTGTCAGCTCTCACTCACCACTTAGTCTCACCCACATCTTTTCCAAGTGTCTCTATTTGTATTGGCTTCACATGTCTTTGTTTCCCAAGTCCAAAGCTGAGAAGCAAGTGAGACAATTTCTTCACGTCTCTCTGCCCCATATACCTCCTCCAACTTTTCTTTCCAAATCTTCTCCCTGATCTGTCTTACCCTTCATTCGGTAGAATAGGAATATGGTACCTCCCTTTTATATGGAGATCCCTCTGTAATAGATACTGCCAGCGTCCCTGCTAGTGAGCATGTAGCCTCTTTTATTTTTTTTTTTAATACCTCAAAGGTGGTAAAGGTAACACTTCTCAGTATAACCAGCTAAAAGAGTTTATATTAATGCTGACCTAATATGCCTCCCTATACTTTCCCAATAAAACTTTTTTCAGTTAACTGCTCTTGAGATTTTTTTAAAAACGTAACAAGCATGTGTACGTATAAAACATTTTGCCAGGCACTATACTTTGCATATGAAAAATAATATAGATCTGAAAACCATAATTTCTGTCATTTTGGAGCTTATGACATTAGGGAATGGTAAGAAGGGAGTGTATATGTATAAATAACAAAATAATTGCCAGATATAGTAGAAAAGCGCATACAGGAACCAAAAAGGAAGTTATAATTGTATCCCTGTCAGCTCATATTTTTTGGTTAACCTGTTTTGAGTCAGCCTCTTTAGCTTTAGGAGAGGTGGGTATCCACATGAGTGTTTGCTGTTTTTCCCCTCTCAGTTTTTAAAACACTGGCCTTAATTAAACCAAGTGAGGTTTCATAGTAGTAGTTTCAAGTAGTTACAGTTCTCATATCATATATTTGACTTTCTTTATGGGGGGCTCAAGAAGATGTTCTTTTTCATTTACATTTATCTTTGAGCACAAGGAACCAATAACCATTCCCACATTTCCCTCTTAGTTCCTGTAGGGTTTGTATTTCTTTCTTTTAGTCTGTGCTGGCAGATTTTGAATTATAAATTCTTTGCTTATAGGGACTTCCCCCTTTTTTACAGCTGCAGATAAACTGGAAAGTATTCATTTAGGTCAGTGAGGTTATTTCTCTGAGCCTAAGTAGATTTTCCTCCACTCTCTTCCCTCATGTTGGAACTCCTTGGCAATTTGAGTTACTGTTCTCTACTTACCCGACTTGAGGGAGAATTCTGTATACTGGATTGGGAGGAAGAGGGAAGAATCCTCTCTGCAGTTGTGATAGACCCAGTTTTGTGTAATCTTTACCAAATAACATGGAAGGTAAAAGAGTTGGCTGAATAGGTCTGTGGTCACTATCAAGGTCATTTTTTAAAATCTCAGTCCTTGATCCCCAAGCTAAGTGTGGAAATCATCGTGGTTAAATTAATTTTGAAGTCAGTTATTTGATTGCCTGCTTTAGAATGAAAGCTCCTTAAGATTTTGTAATACAGAGTTACAGGGATCTGAAGTTAGTAAATCCTAGACCTGAGGTTTCTCCGTGTTTCCCTGGTTCCAAGGGAATGGTGTTGGTTTGGTGAGTTCCTTGTGCCTTGGAGGCAACCAGATAAGTCAAAAACTGTTGGTATTTAATTTTTAAAGGAATATATTTTGTTAATTGTAAAATTAAGCTGAAAGTAAAACAGATAGACAAATGTATTCATGAGTTATCAGGCCAAAAGCCTTGTAACCACTGTCCAGTACCAAGGGTGGTACTTTTTTTCACTCTCACGAGAATCCCCTTTACATACACAGCCAGTCATAGCCCGAAGTCACCATTTTCCTGACTTCTATAGTAATTTTTTTTGTCTCATAGCTTTAATATCAATTTACATATAACTAGGTATCATAGTTTAGTTCTCCACCTCCCCACCTTTTATTGATATATGTTAATTTATAGGTTTCCCTTGATCTTTTTCATTTCCTTGTGGTTTATCTATTGAACCTCAGTGGTTTGACTTATAATTTCTCCTGTAGTCTGTATATAGATGACTATATTTTAACTGACTGATACTCATGCAATTTAACACCTTTCTCATCCTCAACATTTCATGCAAATGGACTAGAGATTTAAGCCTCCTGGCAATACTAAAGGTGGTGTCAATATAGTGGTGTGCCTTTTCTTTAACAGGCACCTAATGTCTGAATGCTCTCTTTTCTTTCTTCTTTTTGACTAGCTGAGCTACAGCTAGAAAGATGCTTTTTCTCATTTATTACTTTATGTACAGTGTATAGTTTATATAGGAAAGAATAAAAGGAGTTTATTTATTTGCTTGATTTTTAGATAAAACTATTGTTTGAGGGTGACCAGTTACATTTTTTAAAAAGTGTCATTATTGGGCCCTCCCTGGTGGCGCAGCGGGTTAAAGCACTGCACTAAGAAGCTAAAGCCACTTACACATCAGTTTGATCCCCGCCTGCCCTGGAGGTGACCACATGGTGCGGCAGACCTCTCCTGACCTGCCCGCTGCTCCCCTCAGCAGTGTACTTCATAGATCTGCCTGTTCTGTTCCCCGTTCTATCTCTGGTGAATCCTCTCACCCTCCGCATCTCTGGCCTCTACCCCAGTTCTGTATGAATAAATAAATAAATCTTTAAAAAAAAAAAGTGTCATTATTAACTAATATATTTTAGCATTTGGGTTTTAAACAAATGGTTATGTTTTTTTTTTTTACAATTGTATTCCTTTTATTTATTTATTATTTTTTTAAATTATTACAAAAGTTTATTTTTACATCATTTTGCACATTTTTTTTTCCATCTCGATTGTAATCCCCGCGGGTTTCCCATCACCAAATCACCCGTGTGTCACCACCATAGTCCCGTGCATTTCCCTCCCCCCCCCCTTTTGATCCCATTCCCCATTCCACCCCACAACATGTCTCTGGTATATGGTTGTTCATTATTTTTGTGGTTATGGTTTTTTTAAAAAAGATTTATTTTTATGTAGGCATACAAGAATTAGGGTATAAGCCAGAGGTGTGGGGGAGGAGGGTGAGAGAATTGATCAGAGACAGAGTAGGGAGCAGAACTGGCAGATCTACTGAAATATGCTGCTGAGTGGAGCAGCGGGTTGAGACTGGAGAGGTCTGCTGCTCTATGTGGGTCACCTCCCTGGCCAATAGTTGAACTCAAGTTGCAGTGGCTTTCAATAGCTTGACATTGTTGAGACTTTAACCCCTGAACCACCAGGGAGGCTTTTGTGATTTTGTAATTTGGGGGCTTAAGTTGTCCTAACCTCTTTAAATGATTTCTGTGTTCTTTGACATTCTAGGTTTTTTTTCTTTTTTTTTTTTTTTTAATTCACACAGAACTGGGGTATAGGGCAGAGATGCGGAGGGTGAGAGGATTCATTAGAGACAGAGCAGGGAGCAAAACAGGCAGATCTAGGAAGTACACTGCTGAGGGGAGCAGCAGGCAGGTCAGGAGAGGTCTGCTGTGCCATGTGTGTCAGCTCTGGGGCAGGCGGGGATTGAACTCATGCAGAAGTGGATTAAACTTCTTAGTGCTGTGCTTTAATCCGCTGTGCCACCAGGGAGGGCTGGTTTTTTTTCTTTTTTAGTTTGTTTGTTACAAGATTTCCCTGACTGATCTGTATATGTCCTATCTCAAATCTGTATAAGCCATTTTTCCCAATTTTTTTATGTTGGTGATATTATTTCAGCACTGTAATGTCTGTATTGGGCATGCTATTGGGTTGGCCATTGTTCCTAGGTCTCTTTACTGGACAGGACTAGGAAATATGATAATAATGTGTGTGTGTGTGTATTTGTTCATATATATTTATGAAGAAAATAGGTGGTCTATTTAAGATATATTTACATGCTATATAATAAAATATCTTTAGATATAAATTGTATGTGTATATTTAAAGTATGTTATGAAAATAAGTTAATACTATTTATTTAAATTCAGGGTAACAAGGATTTCAGTTTAACTTTTTGTGTTGTTTCCAGCTGGAATCTTGCTGAAATAACAGGGTCCCATCTTCTGTGGTGGTTCTTGAATTCCTGTTTTGTCTTGACAACTGTGTAAGGGTGCTTAAAGTTGTGCTTACAACCTCAGCCTGCCAGTCCCAGCTAAACAGCCTCGTCAGCTTCATCTGCTTGTCTCTTGGTGCTTGTCATTCCTTATAACTCTTTCAGATGTAACTATGGAAGTGACCTGTTTGTTATTCTCTGTGCTGCTCTTCTCTCTCTGTTCTTTTCTTTCATACCTTTGCTGACTTTGTGTTACCAGTTGTCAAACTGTTTTCATGGGATTTCACCACCAACTTCATCTAGCGCCTATCCCCCACCTCCACCCCACTCCCATTGGATAGGCCAACAGCAAAAAACTTTTGTTGAGGGAAACTGAAATCCAAATATATACACATTTTTTTCTTTTGTTTTGTAAGATTTATTTGTGCATACAGAACTGGGGTACAGGCCAGAGGTGCAGGGACGGTGAGAGGATTCACCAGAGACAGTGGGGAGCAGAACAGGCTGATCGAGGAAGTGCACTGCTGAGGGGAGCAGCAGGCTGGGCAGTAGAGATCTGCCACACCATATGGATCACCTCCACGTGGATCACCTCCAGGGCAGAGGCAGGCCAGGGCAGGCGGGGATTGAACTCATGTGGAAATGGCTTTAGCTAGGCGCTGTGCTTTAACCCCCTGCGCCACCAGGGAGGGCATATATACACACTTTTTAAGCCCTACAGACCAAACAACTCATCTTCTTTTTTTCTTCTTTATATAGAAGTGGCATTGTGTTTGCCTGCTTTTGAGATAGGTCTGTAGCCCTGAATAACTACTTGTTACTAAAGATCCTTGATGTGGCAGTATGGGCCAGGGTTATTTACTAACTTGAGCAATTCTGTGATTACCAATGGGATGTCCTACAATTTGTTGTGACACTGTCTACTTGAATATATTGTCCCACTCACAGACTGCTTGCAGTGCCAATCAGAAGTCCAGATTGTACTTCTGACTGATGACTATAAAATCAGAGGTTCCCACAATCCTCCTTTTGTTGGGTTATGATTAATATTAGAGCAATTCACAGAACTCAGGAAAACAGCATGTACTTAGGAATGGAACACGTGGTAAAGGCTTAAACCTTTTAAGTAATTATCAAGACTGTTCTCCAATTTATCTGATTCATTTTACATCTTAATCAGCAGTGTATATATGTTCCAACCTCTCCACTCCTTTGGAACACTTGTTACTTTATAACTTAGCCTTATTGGTTGTAAAAAAGTACCTTGGTGTGGCTTTCATTTGCATTTCTGATAGTTCTTAATGTTGATAGAGGGTTTTAGGAAATTTTTCAAACCAAAAAACGAGTTTGAAAGTTTGTAGTTGTGTCACTCAAAAGTATTTTTTTTCTAGTTTGTATCCTGTTTTTGTATTATTATATGCATGTAAGGGTAATTATACTGAGTGAAGGGATTTTTTTTTAACTTTTTAAACTGTTCATTTCAAAACTTAAGTTGTAATTTTAAACCAGAGCTATCCTGCAAGGGAGTGGGGCAGAGAGCGATTGGAAGGAGGGAGGGAGGTATATGGGGGACTATGGTGATGACAAGCTGGGCCGGTGAAGTGAAAAGGGGAAAGATTAAACATTATTTTAAAATGAGCAATAATGTAAATAGATTATACAAATTAATAAAAACTAAGGAAAACAACCCTTAAGTTTGTTAAACTTTTTAAAATACATAGGGAGGTGAAACTAGTTGAGCTGTTAGTGGTGCACCTTTGCAGTAAAAGTTATCAGGCAGAACTACGTAGAACACATGTTAAAATAATTCCCTTGACTGGCTTTTCTTAGCACATTAAAGTGGTCAGTTTAATTTGAACAAGTTGCATCCTACTGATATTAATGAGGACACAAATTCATCTCATTAGCGTTACATTATGTGTATTTTTGCAATTGTGTTTGCTTTTATGAATTGATACTTAGCATTTGTTAACTCACAAGCTTTGGCACTGCTTAATACATTGCATTCATTATATTAATTATACCTGATTTATTTTGTGTTTGGGAATCACCCCTTTGATATTAGGGAACACTAGTTAGTTTCCTATTATTTGCAAAAGAGGATTTGTCTATCTTTGAAGAGTGTTTATATCTTTGCTCTTTGCTAAACTAAATGGTCTTTTTCTAACTGAATGGAAAGAGTTCTATATACTAGATAGAAATGTTTTATGAGATTTATGACTTGGAAACATTTTATCCTAGTTTCCTATTTTATAGGTTTTCTTTTCACTTTGTTAATGAAGCACTTTGAAGTACAGAGGAGGTCTTCATTTTGATGACATGCACCCAATATTTCATTTGTTGCTTCTAATGTCATTTAATCTTGGCATGAAAATGTATGCCTGTGTTTTTGTTAATTTTTGTGTTAAGTGCAGCTTTATTTATTCTTTTGCAGGTGAATATGAAGTTATTTTTGCCTTTTTTTTTATTTTCCTGTGTCTAGCCCATCTTACTTTGGAAACTCCAATTATATATATTCCATATTTAAAGTTCAAGAGTTGACTGATAAAAATTTTTCCGTAGTATCTTTTCTCTCGCTGTTTCATTATGGGTAGTTTCCACTGCTTTGTATTCACTTTAAACACTATTCAGCTTTAGAAGTTCAGTTTGTGTGTCTAGCTATCCTGTGTCATTAATAAAATGTTTATTTCTTTTTTAACTGCCTGTCATCTGAAATACAGTTATAATCACTTCAAATGTGTGTTTGTAATTTTTGTCTTTCTCTTTTGATCAGTTAGACTGTTGGTCTGTTTCATATTCTTCTTTGCATATTTGGTAATTTTTTATTAGGTACCAGATTCTGTGAGTTGTTATACATATAATTTTACCTTCTTATAAGTAGTGTTAAACTTTGTTTTGGATTATAGTTAAGGTAGTTAGGAATGTTTTGGTTCTGTGAGACTTGTTCTTAAATTTTCTTAGTTGAGAACAAAGTGGCCTTGGATCTAAGGTCAATTTTGCACTGTTAGTAACGGTAGTGTCTTGTGAGTTACATTTTTGCCTTTGACTTTTGGGAACACCTAGTATCCTTGCCTCTCTGAACCTGGAAGTTGTTGCCTCTGCTCCTTTTGAGTTTTATTTTTCCCCTCTGGTTCAGGTAGTTTCTCACTGCACAAACTAATTAATACTCCCTTGAAAACTTGAAGGGAGATTTCTTCAGACTTATTTGTTCATCCTCTCCTCTCCGGTAATTTCTTCATAAATTCTAGTCACTTTGGCTCCTCTAGATCTTTTTATATCTCCTGAACTACAGAAAATCATTGTGTGAGTGTTTTTCTTGTAATTACATAGCTACAACCTGCTCTACTGTCTGCAATGTAAACTTATGCAGTTGTAGGACCTATTGTTTGCTTCCCATCCTTCAGTAATCACTGCACTGGTTGGTGTTTAACTTCTGAATTTCATTGATTTGTCTCTATTGTCTGGTTTAGTTATTTTTCAGGTGACATAGTAAGTTTGATTCCTGCTATAACATCTTGATTAGAAGTAGAAACTTCAAGATTGCTTTTACAGACAATAGAAAACATTAATTAGTTCTGAAAGTCTGTATTTTTCCTTTGTGGCTATTTCTTTCTCTCTTGGACTAGATCCTCATGTAGTTTGTGAGTAGCGAATCAATAAAATTTGAGAAGAAAAAAAACAACAATTCCTAAGAAAAATTCCTAAGGCAATTATAAGTGAAACTCCTCTCCCACCCGAAGAAAAGGAGCTCATGGAGAAATTTACTTAGATTGTGGAAAGTATTAACCAGGAAGTGCAGAAGTGCAGAATTGATATTGCCTTGATAGAAATTTCATGGAATCTTATATCTACCACAGTTTGAGTATGCTGTTAATATCAGGAATGTCTTAGTGTTTTTCTTGTAATTACACAGCTGCAGATTTTATTTAGTTGTGATGATTCTTAGTACACTATCACTTAGGGAATTTTGGTCCTAAAACTTTGCTTAACTGTGCGTATCTTGTTTTCGGACAGTATTCCTGTTTTCT